TCTGGACTTTTTGGATTGATACCTTTCCTTCTGTTTCTTTTCTTTTTCTTAGTGGACTGTGGTGATGATTGAGTTGCTCGATCTGCTTTCTGATCTTGTACTGGTTTCACTCTACTACCGTTAGCACTGATCATGAAGTCTATACATTCCCTCACCTCTATGGAATTTATCACATGTTTCATGTTTCCATCTTTATCACTTGATGAACCAGAGCGCAGTTGTGCCCCTCTTATTCTTCCAAGAATATTCTTCATTTCTTTCAAATCCTCACCTTCTTTGATCTCTCCTGCTGGTTATATTGGATGATTACCCCCCCCCCCCTATACTTATTGATGAGGTCAATATCACTCTGGTTGAATGAGATATTAGTTTCTCTGATCCGAGAAGTTTCACCACCCGGTTCTGGAGTACTATTTTCGATGGGTTTGATGAATGAACCCACAACCGATGGAATTTGATGGAGGGCTGATGTGATTGCTGCTTGGTTAGTCTGAAGTTGTCCAAGGAGCGCATCCTGCCGTTTATCGTATTCCTCACTTTGTTTGGTTAAATTTTTAACAACAGGTTTTTGGAACTCTTCTACAAACTCCTCCTGCTGTTGCTTGCCGATCCTTTTTTCCAGTTGACGTTGCTTGAGAATTTCTCGATTTTTGAGAAAGGTGTCAATGACCTCCTTCCTATGTTCTGGATTTTCTACTTGAGTAAAACGTGGCATGCTTATCTACCAATACTTTTTTTCTTCTCACTTCTCCAAGAACCTATCGAATCCACATCGGTACATCTCTGGCTGATATGTTGCTGTTTTATCAAGCATGAAAAATGAATGTGGTTTCTCTGTTGCCATTTCATAGGCCTCCGCAAACTCGGTTTTCTTAAGATTTTTGGAGTGATCATGTGCTAGACACTGGACATCTCTGTTGTCTAAGCCCTTGTACAGGAGGAAGCACTTGGTATTCCTCCGGATATATTTCGGTACATCATAGTATGATTGGCAAAGATATATACAGTTACATTTCTTGTTCCGAGAAAGACTGAAGTATTCCATCACCTTTGTCATGTTCTTTTTGTCAATCTTGATGTCATCAAAAATTATCACCTTATTTTCCTGATCATCGAGATCCTCCACTGGACAAACCTTGTCTGGTTGTCCAATGATACGATTACCAGGAGATATTCCATTGTAAAACCCATCAAGAAGTTGATATTTTGGTTGTTGAGGATTTATTGTGTAAAGGATGACCTTATCACACTTCAACCATGATTATAGAAGCATATTACACAGGGTGTTTGTCTTCCCACACCCCGTTTGTCCGATCATCATGTCGTGGCAATCAGGAAGCAAGTAGTGATGCTTTGTTGGTTTCTCCTTGTGCTCATCAAAGTTCATCATTTCCATGGTTTATACCTATAAAGGATCATTTTTTATTGTTCCAACACTCTCAAGAAAGAATATATAGATAGAAAAGGAAGATGAGTTCAAAATTTGGAACAGCCTTGGAAGCTAATTCGATCAATCTTGATTCCTATGCCAAAAAGAGGGAGTTATTTGTCATCAGTGAAGAAAAGCTGGATAAAGCTGGTGGAGATGTGGAGGGACATATTGACATGAACTATCATAGCATCTGCTTTCTTGGTTATGATGGAATAAGTACCACTTGTGCGGCACCAACTGGGTGGGTCACAAGTGAGATAGGAAAAGTGGATACTTCATTGAGGACGCATGTTGATGACGCGAAACACGACTGAAGGTGAGTGGCACACTGAAAATGAAGGAAATCTTGACATGGGTGGAATGGAAATTGTGAATGTGAAGCAACCATCAACAAGTACATCTGTGGTAACATCAGAATATCTCAACACAGCCCAAAGTCGGACTCTCTGGACTAGTGGACTCAACCAGATGAAAGGAAATCTTGACATGGGGTTGAATCACATCATCAATCTCCGACAGACAACAGAGGATGACTCAGCAACAACAAAGGAGTATGTTGACAGAAAGGATGGAAAGGTGAAAGTCAAAAAATTGAAGAATATCATCCCGAGCTCATCAACCACTCCACCAGAAGCCACACTTCATGTCTTTCCTATTTACAAAAGTCCAACCAACAAACTGATTGTCATTGAGGATCTCTTCATAGTCGGTCAAGAAACAAGTGGTAGCAGAAGACGTTTTCGTGTATCATATCGAGATGTGTTGGGAGAAAAAGCGGTAATCCGATACATTACTGAACATGATATAACAACGGCATATCTGACCTTCATCAACAACACATTGACATTACCAACTGTGAGTGGATACAATCTCATTGATGAATGGGAGCTGGTTTATCATGAGTACTGAAAATCTTAACTATATGTAGATAAAAAATGGAAATACCTCATTTGTTAATACTGTTGACCATGCTACCATTTACTCTTGGCTGTATTCGTGATCCGTTGGATAAGGATGGACTCTGCTTGACAACGAAACCTCCTACTGTTATCCAAAGTGAAAGACCAACTCCGGTTGACATCCCTAGTGAAACATCACCACCAACAGATCATATCACTACACAACCACCTTACGATCAGACGAAACCAGTAAACGGGGATAACCCTCATTTGACAGACCCCAATCTTTATCTTTTATCTCTGATTGTTATTCCTATAGTTGGTGCTGTTTTATATCTCATAAAACGTTCCAGCTGTTCGATGAGTGTTGACCCTGAAAATGATCCAAGAAATTTACAACATCAGCCTAGGTTAGATTTTGATCCGATACCATTATCAGATGTGCTTGGTACGATCAATCTACCAAAATCACCTTCAACCTTTGATGTAACTGGTATAGTCTGATGGAGAGAAAGAAAACGGTTTATGATAGAGTAAAAAATGATGAAACTGAAAATGATATCTGTTCTCTTAGAAATTGTCATGTTGTGTAGTGTTTCACATTCCCTTCCAATTCCTGGAAATATATGTTGGGTAGATGGTGATCATATAGCCTGTGTTCCTTCTCAACCACTTTTTCCTCCTGATAATGTACCAGCAGTATCGGTAGCACCGCTAACAACGGCAAAGCCAACAACAAGATTAATACCAACAACGGTAGCTCCAACAACACCGGCAACACCGACAACACCGACAACACCGACAACATCGGGAATTACATCGGGAATCTCGGGAATTACATCGGGAACATCGGGATTTACACCTACAACACCGACAACATCGGGAATTACATCGGGAACATCGGGAATTACATCGGGAACATCGGGAATTACACCGGGAATGTCGGGAATTACATCGGGAACATCAGGAATTACATCGGGAACATCGGGAATTACATCGGGAACATCGGGAATTACATCGGGAATTACATCGGAAACATCGGGAACATCGGGAAATACATCGGGAATTACATCGGAAACATCGGGAACATCGGGAAATACATCGGGAAAATCAAACAACTTGATATACCTCCTTTTCCTTCTTCTTCTCATCCCCACTGCTGCTGTTGGATTTCATAGACAAATAAAAAAATATCATAGAAAGAAGGATGAGAACCTTCTTACTCACGAAACCACCCACCTCATGTAAAGATGATCAGGTGAAAAATATGACTTTCATACCCACAAAAGAAACCCTTGCTAAGGGGAGAGCAACACTCAACTCAGGATGGAGACCCCCTATTACAAAAAAAGCTGATGAAAAACAAGAAAAGATATATGTGGAAATGATCCATCCCTTAGCAAAACTAAAACAGGAAACAGTTGTATATGCTGGAAATATATCAAGAGAGCTAGAAGATGGGAAATTGGTGGTAAATCATCCATAGCTGGACCACCCAAAGTTCGCTCAGGAACCGATCCCACATCATCCCTCGAAGTGAGCCAAGATGGGGTAAGTGAAAAAGCTCAAGTTGGCTCACTTCCGATTTTCTCGGAGACAGCAAGTTGACTCACTTTTCTGGAACGGGGTTGAGCCAACATGGGATCAGTGGTTGGAGTTGTAAAATTAGTACTTGGGGTTGTAATATTAGTACTTGGATCTCACACACACATTTCTTACCATAAAGAATAAGAAGTGTATTGAAGGGTTAGAACTATAGGGTAGGAGAGGGGGAACTGTATGGCAGACCTATCTCCTGGTAAGAGTCATTATCTTACAGAGTCATTATCTCACAGAGTCATTATCTCACACGTTCCCCTAGTAGTATAGGGGGAGGGGGAGACTTTGGAGGGAGGCCCGAAGGGCCGATCGAGAAAGTCGATTTTGGCTCACCTGGAAGGTGAGCCAGAACCCCCTCCCCCTATACTACTGATTGCAGATCAGACACTAAAATCGAATTCAACACTACATTATCCTCTCCATTCTATCTCCCTTCCCTGCCTGTTTTTTCTCCCCTCTCCTCTTCTAAGTTTCCTTGTGAGAAGGTACCATTGCCTGTTTGGTTGAGCGACTATAAATAAAGGCACATCAACAACATGCCTCACTTCTTAACCGCAGTGGGCAATTTTCTCCATTTCTGAGACGGCATTGCCTGTTAACTTCTCATAAAAAATTGAGAGGACGAATCGCTTGTATGAGCATTACTGAGTATGCATTATATTATTTTCACATTAATCAACTTTTCCAATCCTGCGTTCAGTGTATTTGGCGCTGAAAAAATTATGCTATGCATTGTTGGCGCTGAGATGAGCCATGCGACATTTCGCTGGCGCTCATGTGATTAAACCTATTATGTTGTGATCATAGCGTTTGCATCCTCTTCACCATTACAGGTTTGAATATTGGACCAATTACCATTCTCCAGACATACTGTTGTCCTATCAAATTTGAGTTCAGGGTCAGAATCGCATGTTGCTGTCCTTACACTGCCAACAGTGTTATTTCCTACAGAGACTCTCCCAATCGCAACCGTCGGGGAATTGCACTCCACAGGTCTTTTTTCCGTCGACTCGCTAGATTGAAAATGTTTCTGAACATTACTGGTCTAACAGTATAGAGTCGAAAATGACGAGGAGTAGCTCCCTAAGTACTGCGATGGCCGAGCGACGAGGATAACATAGCTGCCGCCAGATTCAATACGCCACAGAATGACAAGGTAAGTTGGATTTCGCTCTGGACTCACAAGCAGTCAGTTTAAAGATCGCTGGAAGGAATTCAGAAGACTAGGGTAGCACAAACCTTAGGCTGATTAAAAGACATTCGATGGAAGACCTAAACTGAAATTTACATGTAAAAAGACGTGTTCAAACCCGTTGCTAGATACGTCTTCTGTGAACATATGCAATGGAATGGATTCAATATGAATGTACTGTAATAGGGAAGCGAAAATGCATTGTAGGTACAAAAAAGAAATAGAGAAAATGCAACTAGAATAGCACTAGCATGGAAGCGAGAAGCATACCGGTGGCGCGTCTCACCGAGGGAACACATATGCACTTACAAGTAGAAAGACGCAGAATCGTTCGTAACTATCACAGGCAATGTGAGCGGGGAAGGCAGCAATGACAACATCAAACAAAAAGATACTATTATGAACAAATTGAAGTTGCACGTTGATGTCTGCAGCTTTCATAAAAAAATCATAGTTCGCATACAACATTATTTTTGTCCCCACGTAGATTCTGGCTGAACCTTAAAAATTAGATGATTGGAACAATTCACATTATTGTACTTAATACGTGTAAGAGTAGGTGTAAGAAGGCATCGACCTATGCGTTGATTTGTTCGTAAACTGACTCTGGATTTGAAATCATAACGTCTCCATAGGCTGTATTTGATGTCATGTTGATTATTTCTTTTGGTTCTGTAGTTGGGTGCTGCTTCTTGCCATTGTAAGCCATTGATCTACGGATACATAGCAGAACAATTATGAATGGAATGGCCATGGCGACAGACCCGATACCTAGTCCAACTGCGCCGGCTGCCAACATTGTACTTGGTTGATGCGCTTCGGCTATAGGCCCTGCAGTTGATGGTGCAGATGATGGTGCACTTGCGTATATTTCTGCAGAAATAACACGCAGAAGCACACAATAATTATACCAGCTGGGATATGTATCCATCTGCACTAAAAGAAAAAGGTTTCCATTTCCCTAATCAAGGCCTACAGTTAGCCCTTTCCCAGAAAAGCTACTTTTCGCAACCATGCCAAACAAGTGAAAGTTGCTGACCTATTATTAATTAGAAGCATGTCCGCGTTGTTGGCGGGGTGCCACTTTCGCTTATGCCATTCAGGATTGATTTCTGAAGAGTAAAACAATACAATGAAATGACGGAATTGATGTTGACAAAACCCCGTTAGCAACATTACCTATTGGCCTTATAGAAAACTTAATCGAAAGTATAAAAATAGAATATAAATACAACATGTCTGGCGGAATCACGTGAATGACGAGAATCTGTCTTGTTTGGTGAGGCGGGCTCCACGCCATGCCTGTAGGTCCGCTGCCGTTGTGCGGAATGCGTCAATATCCACCTGCTGGTGGAGGGTAAGTCCATGTCATGATGACAATTCCGCCTGCAAGACCGCTAACAAAGTTGAGCGAGGTTGACCTCTGAAATTTTCTGTCCTGTCTTTGGCCAGCGAAGATACATATCCACTGCTAGCTGTGGAGGAGCAATCGGGGCCAAACGAAAGATATGGCCAGCGAGACTGTAGCGCTGCCTTGTGATCATCTCACTAAGGGGGCAGCCCCGCAGCGCTTGTACAAAGTAGCATTGCTGATTCTCTTTGGATATCGCATGTAGATGAAGCTCCTTAGCTGGGTGCTGTTGAACGAATCCATTCGCATGAGCTCCGACGTCGGTAGCCGCCAAGTGATGCAGTTGTAGGTAAGAACAGGGATAACGTAGGCGTTGTGGAGCTTCTGCCAAAGACATTCACTGATCTGGAGTCTCCGGGTACAGATCCTAACTTAATTAAGGTAGCAGCCTGGTCCTAAATTTCATATGGCATTCAATTGACCGTGACTTTGGTGTCTCTCAATGGATTTGAGTGAAATTTGCACCACACACTCCTGCCACTGTGCTGGCCCGCTGGACATGATTTAAAAGTTCTTGCGTCTCACTGACAGGCTTTACAGGCCGGAAAAATTCTGGCATAGTGCCACAGTTGGCGAGCCACCCAGGAGCCAAACAAATGCATTTACAATTTTTTAATATTTTCTAGCCAATTCTGTCCGTGCGCAGGATCCAAACCTAAAAACCGTCCAGGAGCAGCCATGGGTGGTGGGATAGGGCCCTTCAACGTGGCCCTGGAATCTGTCAAAACAGCAGGAGTGGGTGTTCTGTTACAGACTCCCACAGACCCAAGTCAATTTTTTAATTTTTTTTAAGGTTCAGGGCGTGCTACGAGGTCGTACCTTTGATACAACAACCAGTGCTGGGACCTCAGTGGCGGGTTTAGGGGGGGGGGGGGGGCGCGGGGGCGCGCGCCCCCCCCCCCCTCAAAAAATTTCGACCTAGGTTTCGAAAAATAAAAGGCAGGGCGCCGGGTCTAGCTAGACTAGGCTTGGGGCGCGGGCGGCCTGAAACGATTGTCCAAAAGCGGTTGACGGTACGGTGCTCGAGCTGGTGTTGATTGTGCACGCTACAGACTAGTAGTAGTACAGTACAGTCTACAGAGTAGAGTCTACGTACAGTGAGCATGCACGGCTACACGGTGACCTGACTGTGTACTGTTGTACAGTGTGATCCCTGCTGGGACGCGCTCGACGCGTCTTCATGACTTCAACGGTACAAACATCGAGGAAAAGTCTTCGATCGAGTCAACCAAAACACAATTCGAATGCCGAGGGCTCAGGCGATCATCCTCGTTCGAATCGTGTTTTGGTTGACTCGAAGGCTTTTCTTCGATGTCTCAGGGACATACCAAAAGGCCAAGCTCTAGCCAGCAGAGCCTGGAATTTTTGTAAAGCGTTCCTGTCGCGGCGCAACTCCTGCTGCCGCTCCAACAGGAAACAGTGGGAGTGATGAAGTCGCTGTTATTCCAGTTGAACTTTCGGAGCTGACTGACAGTCACGCCCCGCTAGACGTACCTGTTGTCAGCGAGCAGCCAGAACATGAAGAACAGCGCACAGTCACAAGTACCGCTGCCTATGTAAAGGGTGCTTTGAAAGTGGTGAGAAATTGTTGGACTCGCATAAATAATTGCAGTTGATTCGCTCACATAAATTTTAAGTTTACAATGTACATTGTTGCTGCGTGTACAGAAATACTGCTCGTGGTGTGTGAGATGTACGGCTTGTTGTTGTTGTTGCTGTTGTTTATTTTACTTCACCAAATGAACAGGCAGAGATGCCTTCTCACCTGCCCATAGGACAGGTCACACAGAATGATGAAGGGATGATATGCAAGGGAAAACGAGAAATTAATGATAATAACTTATAAGACAGAAAGGACCAAAAGAAGAAAAGGAAAAATTTAGATGAAGACAATTTCATGGAGTCAGGAACACCTGGTTGATTATAATATGCATGCACAAATGATTGATAGATGAGAAGGTTGGAATTTATGGCAGATAATAAAAGTTTAACGAGGATATTCACAAAGTAAGTATATCAATGGCAGAAAGAGCTTTTCGGAAGGGACCAGGGAAAGTATCACTCTAAAATCAGAGGGGAGAGCGTTGCAGAGAATGCTTCCCCGAAACATCATGGTCGATCGTCCCGCAGGCCCACGAAGAAAGGGAACTTGAAGTTGAAGCAAGTTCGACACTTGTCCCCGTGTGGTGCGCTGATCCTCCGGAACAGTCTCTGGGGCCGTTCGGGTGAATAAGTTATTATTATATTATTAATTTACTTTTGAAGAAGGGGGCTACAGGAGGAGCTTCTTGACATCGGCTTTCAAAATGGCTGACCAGGGACAGTAGCATGATGTCATGTACCCCCACCCCATCCCGCCTTGATCCCGGCCGTAACCCCCCCCCCCCCCCTCAGCCAAATCTTGGACACGCCACTGGACCTCCACAACCCATTTCCACAGCGCTTCAAACCGAATCCAGGATACCCTCCCAAATCGGCAAGGACTGCCAATCACGTTCCACTACTGCATAGTACTGAATCCTACCTGACTTCTAGACACGACTCAAATTTGCCAAAGTTACTAAATCACCGTCAATTATAATAACCAAGCCACATATCTGCAACGTCACGAGGGTGCTGGCAAAAGTCCTGCTGCACGGCGGTGGGCTTCGGCCGCCGCCGTGCAGCCCAATACGTGGTTTTTTAACGTGGTTTTTGGACTTTTTTTTGGACTTGGAGCAAAATTCTGCACACTTTCGCGTGTTTCCATGATGCGACAAGTGGCGCACGGTCTGCTCACATTCAAATACAGAAATAATAATAATAATTTGATAACCGCAATCAGTAATACAAGCTGGATCGACATTTGTGTACACTTTATTCATGTAATGTAAAACTTGTTTGAATCCTCATTTTCTCTACACCGTTTCTTCCCATTTTCATCGTTTTATTGCACATTGTCTCCACAGTTTTATATTGCATGAATAAAGTGTACACAAATGTCGATCCGGCTTGTATTACTGATTGCGGTTATCAAATTGTTGTCTCCTCGCCGTTTGTTCAAATAATAATAATAATAATCATACCACTGAACGCGTACAAAGGCCAAAGAACAATGCATGAGAATACACGTAAATTAAGCCAAGTCCGCTTCTGTCTCCAGTCAAGTAAAACTCTCCATAAACAATGTCTGATCTCCATTTCGACTTGTCTGCAGGAAATGCTCGTGCTCCTTCTAGGTCTCTGGCATTCTTCAAAGGGATGCCAGCAAATGACAGCGTGCAACAAGAAAACCTTTCCTTTGCAAGGGCACGTTTTCGGCCATAACTCTTGAACGGCTGGTCAGATCGATACAATTTTTTCAGAGATGTTGCAGCTGTCATGCTCTTTCAACTGATCTAGCACTCGATACGAATTTCCAAATTCGATTTTTCAGGGATTTTACGACCAGGCTGCCACCCTAAGGAGTGAGTGGAAGGCGGCGGTGGCCAGTTGGCGTGTCCAAGCAGTATCTTCTGAAATTACATCCATATTAATTTTTTGGACTTTTTTGAACTTGGAGCAAAATTCTGCACACTTTCGCGTGTTTCCATGATGCGACAAGTTGCGCACGGTCTGCTCACATTCAAGTACAGTGCTGCCAGCAAATGACAGCGTGCAACAAGAAAATCTTTCCTTTGCAAGGGCACATTTTCGGCCATAACTCTTGAACGGCTGGTCAGATCGAGACAAACTGTTCAGAGATTTTGCAGCTGTTTATGCTCTTTCAACTGATGTAGCACTTGATACGAATTTCCAAATTCGATTTTTGAGGGATTTTACGACCAGGCTGCCACCTTAAGGAGTGATTGGAAGGCGGCGGTGGCCAGTTGGCGTCTCCGAGCAGCATCTTCTGAAATCACATCCATATTAATTTTTCAGAACAAGCTGAAAAGTATCTAACAACGCAATTCACAATGACGAGTTCTAGTGCATACATGACACCAAAACAACCTAAAAAGTGTCGAAATAAATTATATGTAGAAGAGAAAAGGACATATGGATACGAGTTAAGAGTAACTCTCCATCACTGTAACATGATACTTTATACAGTCAGAAAGTGCAATAACTAGGCACAAAACTGACAGAGTACTGAAACATTCGACGTCCTGACACCTAGCTTCAACACATCTCCGTAGCGCTAACCGACAGCCTTCCAACTTGGAAGGTTCAAGGTTATGGAAAGACCAAAGAGGGGAAGGCAAGCGCAACGAAAACGAGCAAAAGCTACAGTCCCAACGGAACAAAGAATGTCGATTGTTACTGGACGATGACGAGACCAGTACGATATTTGACAATACGGTCTAACTACAATTCGAAGCAGCAAAGCAGCACACCACCCAACTTGGGTGGGTCATAAATATCAAAGATAAGTAAAGAAAGGGAAGCTTTGCGAAAACGAATTGTACAAGCCGAAAGCCAAACTCCTACAGTACTCCTCATGCATGACATTGTGATGGACTAGTTGACTACAAAACAAGTTGTTTCACACGACGTACGTTTCGCCGTATGGTTCGTGACGGCTCATCAGGTGTGCAATATGAAACTCGGATGTTGAGCCATAAATAAATGTAGAAGAGAAAAGGACATATGGATACGAGTTAAGAGTAACTCTCCATCACTGTAACATGATACTTTATACAGTCAGAAAGTGCAATAACTAGGCACAAAACTGACAGAGTACTGAAACATTCGACGTCCTGACACCTAGCTTCAACACATCTCCGTAGCGCTAACCGACAGCCTTCCAACTTGGAAGGTTCAAGGTTATGGAAAGACCAAAGAGGGGAAGGCAAGCGCAACGAAAACGAGCAAAAGCTACAGTCCCAACGGAACAAAGAATGTCGATTGTTACTGGACGATGACGAGACCAGTACGATATTTGACAATACGGTCTAACTACAATTCGAAGCAGCAAAGCAGCACACCACCCAACTTGGGTGGGTCATAAATATCAAAGATAAGTAAAGAAAGGGAAGCTTTGCGAAAACGAATTGTACAAGCCGAAAGCCAAACTCCTACAGTACTCCTCATGCATGACATTGTGATGGACTAGTTGACTACAAAACAAGTTGTTTCACACGACGTACGTTTCGCCGTATGGTTCGTGACGGCTCATCAGGTGTGCAATATGAAACTCGGATGTTGAGCCATAAATAAATGTAGAAGAGAAAAGGACATATGGATACGAGTTAAGAGTAACTCTCCATCACTGTAACATGATACTTTATACAGTCAGAAAGTGCAATAACTAGGCACAAAACTGACAGAGTACTGAAACATTCGACGTCCTGACACCTAGCTTCAACACATCTCCGTAGCGCTAACCGACAGCCTTCCAACATTGAACCTTCCAAGTTGGAAGGCTGTCGGTTAGCGCTACGGAGATGTGTTGAAGCTAGGTGTCAGGACGTCGAATGTTTCAGTACTCTGTCAGTTTTGTGCCTAGTTATTGCACTTTCTGACTGTATAAAGTATCATGTTACAGTGATGGAGAGTTACTCTTAACTCGTATCCATATGTCCTTTTCTCTTCTACATTTATTTATGGCTCAACATCCGAGTTTCATATTGCACACCTGATGAGCCGTCACGAACCATACGGCGAAACGTACGTCGTGTGAAACAACTTGTTTTGTAGTCAACTAGTCCATCACAATGTCATGCATGAGGAGTACTGTAGGAGTTTGGCTTTCGGCTTGTACAATTCGTTTTCGCAAAGCTTCCCTTTCTTTACTTATCTTTGATATTTATGACCCACCCAAGTTGGGTGGTGTGCTGCTTTGCTGCTTCGAATTGTAGTTAGACCGTATTGTCAAATATCGTACTGGTCTCGTCATCGTCCAGTAACAATCGACATTCTTTGTTCCGTTGGGACTGTAGCTTTTGCTCGTTTTCGTTGCGCTTGCCTTCCCCTCTTTGGTCTTTCCATAACCTTGAACCTTCCAAGTTGGAAGGCTGTCGGTTAGCGCTACGGAGATGTGTTGAAGCTAGGTGTCAGGACGTCGAATGTTTCAGTACTCTGTCAGTTTTGTGCCTAGTTATTGCACTTTCTGACTGTATAAAGTATCATGTTACAGTGATGGAGAGTTACTCTTAACTCGTATCCATATGTCCTTTTCTCTTCTACATTTATTTATGGCTCAACATCCGAGTTTCATATTGCACACCTGATGAGCCGTCACGAACCATACGGCGAAACGTACGTCGTGTGAAACAACTTGTTTTGTAGTCAACTAGTCCATCACAATGTCATGCATGAGGAGTACTGTAGGAGTTTGGCTTTCGGCTTGTACAATTCGTTTTCGCAAAGCTTCCCTTTCTTTACTTATCTTTGATATTTATGACCCACCCAAGTTGGGTGGTGTGCTGCTTTGCTGCTTCGAATTGTAGTTAGACCGTATTGTCAAATATCGTACTGGTCTCGTCATCGTCCAGTAACAATCGACATTCTTTGTTCCGTTGGGACTGTAGCTTTTGCTCGTTTTCGTTGCGCTTGCCTTCCCCTCTTTGGTCTTTCCATAACCTTGAACCTTCCAAGTTGGAAGGCTGTCGGTTAGCGCTACGGAGATGTGTTGAAGCTAGGTGTCAGGACGTCGAATGTTTCAGTACTCTGTCAGTTTTGTGCCTAGTTATTGCACTTTCTGACTGTATAAAGTATCATGTTACAGTGATGGAGAGTTACTCTTAACTCGTATCCATATGTCCTTTTCTCTTCTACATTTATTTATGGCTCAACATCCGAGTTTCATATTGCACACCTGATGAGCCGTCACGAACCATACGGCGAAACGTACGTCGTGTGAAACAACTTGTTTTGTAGTCAACTAGTCCATCACAATGTCATGCATGAGGAGTACTGTAGGAGTTTGGCTTTCGGCTTGTACAATTCGTTTTCGCAAAGCTTCCCTTTCTTTACTTATCTTTGATATTTATGACCCACCCAAGTTGGGTGGTGTGCTGCTTTGCTGCTTCGAATTGTAGTTAGACCGTATTGTCAAATATCGTACTGGTCTCGTCATCGTCCAGTAACAATCGACATTCTTTGTTCCGTTGGGACTGTAGCTTTTGCTCGTTTTCGTTGCGCTTGCCTTCCCCTCTTTGGTCTTTCCATAACCTTGAACCTTCCAAGTTGGAAGGCTGTCGGTTAGCGCTACGGAGATGTGTTGAAGCTAGGTGTCAGGACATCGAATGTTTCAGTACTCTGTCAGTTTTGTGCCTAGTTATTGCACTTTCTGACTGTATAAAGTATCATGTTACAGTGATGGAGAGTTACTCTTAACTCGTATCCATATGTCCTTTTCTCTTCTACATTTATTTATGGCTCAACATCCGAGTTTCAAATAAATTATAATGTAGAATAATGTAGAATAGAAGAAAACGCAAGGGGACAACTCGGCAGGATTTTACAATGTGATGAGCAGTCGGAAAATGCGATAACAAGGAACAAAATAGACAAGATACTGAGACATTCAACGACCTGAGAACCCGAGAACTTGACATCTCGCTGCGTGCGAGCAGTCCACAGCCAGAAGTTGTCTCCCAGCGCCTCACTGCAGCAGTTCAGTACCTGGCCACTTGGTTGAAGAAACGTGGACTGATCCTTAACGAGACCAAGACGCAGATACTCGCCATACCACACCATAGAGCTGCAGCCCTCGACATCAATGTTGTATGCAATTCACAAGTCCTACCAGTAGTCACATCTGCCAAATACCTTGGCCTGCATTTTGACTCGGACATGAGTTGGACCACAATGGTGGACCATGTTGCTCGTCGTGTTGCCGGCAAAATTGCTGTCCTGTTGCGACATGCTTCCTCGCTGCCGTATCCATGCCGACTCACCTACTTCAGATCTATCGTTTTGCCTGAATTTTTGTATGCTTCTATTAGTTACTACCCGTATTTGACAGTTGCCCAGGAACAACGGCTACATAGGCTGTTCAAACGTGCCGCTCGGGCAGTCTGCAAGTCGCCACCGTGGACCAGTACTGCTCCCCTGCTAAATCGAATGCATGTATGTGATCTACAGGTTTCTGTGCACTTGAATATGTTGTGTTTCATCTGGCGATGTTTGCATGATGCATGTAGCACCCTGTTTGAGTCCTTTTTTGCTGTCGTGCCCTCAACTCGCACTCGGGGAGGCCAAAGCAACTTGCTTGTGGTCCCACCTGCTAGCACTGCTCGTTCTGCTAAGCGCCTAACGCACGCTGGAGCCATTATGTGGAATAGATTGCCACCAGCAGCAAAATCTCAAGCCTTGCAGTATATATTATCAGCGACATAGGTTTTCCAATGCTTACTGGATTGATATCTGTTCGTTGCAACCAACCTTCCGTCATTTTTTCCTTTCTCTTTTTCTCTTGTATCTCCTTTTTTTTTTTTTTTTTTTTTTCTCCACAATATCCTTTAACATGTTATTCACAGTGGGTCCAATGTTATTAGGCATTTTGCCTGTTTTGATTTCCACTATAAATAAAGTATACAACAACAACAAAACAGGAATATATTTGTATCGTCTTCACATAGGAGTACGTTCATTGCAATGAGCTCCTCACACTCTTACGTTGGCAGGTTGGTACTGGTTGTGACCATGATCCAGATGTGGTGCACACAGATGCACTTGTGCCTACTAGTGTAAATCCTGAGTCACAGGTGAAGTATGTTGCACCACCAACGACATTTGAGCTGCTGGCTATTGTACCATTGGTGGGAGAAGTAAGAGCTGGTGTACATGTGATTTCTAGTGGAAGCGGAAAAGGAAAAGAAATTACATCTGCAGACACAATGAAAATAGATTTTTGAGTTCCAAGTTCCAACTACACAACAACAAATGCCATGCAGGCCACATGTCCGGGTTTATGGCGAGTGCAGTCATCATGCAGACCGCATAGCATCCGGGTAACGATGATTGTACTTGAGCTATACTTCTTGAACAGTGCACATACTGTACGCACTGGATAGATCACACTGCAAACAGGCATACTCTAGAACGGAATATCGCATCGCCATGATCAATAGTTCATTAGGAGGGCCTTCCATTCATATTTTCGTCGTGGCGATAGCTCAACAGATGTTCGAGCGGCGATATATTGAAAACGCGACTTTGATCTGAACTTTTTTTTAGTTTCAACAATTTTTTCCGACTTTCAAGGCATTCGAAGGAATTCGAGGAGATTTCCCTATGACATGTCAAAGGCAACATGACGGATTAACACTGTGTTTGAATCGCTTGAATCTCACGCGTTCGGCGCAGCTTGAATCGTAGTTATACTTCAAGTATGAGCCTCAAACCGAAAAATTTGTCATGCGTGGTCTTGATGCCAAACCGGAGCAAGATCGGGACACTGTTGGGGGTGACCTTGGATTGCTGCATGATCTGAAAACACTTGGGAGATGACCAGCAAGAAAAGAGCTTTCCAAGAAACCTCAAATAATTGTGATAATCCGTTGAGAAACAATAATGTCACGACAATATTTATAAAAAGTGAAAAGGAGCTAGGAACTACAAGTTACACTGTAATGGCTACTGACACCACCCGTTACTAAACTCAGCCCATCCGACAACATTGCACGACACTGACCGACGGTACTGACGTTTGACAACTTACTGACTAACAGCTCTAGGATATCTTGGATGCGCACTCCAACAGCCTGCCAACTTGCAGGGTTCCAATTCATAGAAATTACAGAAGGACGGGAAGTGGAGCGCAACGAAGATAAGCATGAGCTGAATTTTTATAACTTAGATCCTTCCAAGTTGGAAGACTGTTGGAGTGCGCATCCAAGTTGTCCTAGAGCTGCTAGCCAGTTAGTTGTAGAACGTCAGTAGCGTCGGTCAGTGACGTAAAATGTTATCGCATGAGCTGATTGTTTAGTAACTGGTGGTGTTAGTGGATATTATAATGTAACCTGAAGTTCCTTGGTCTTTTAACCTTTTATAAATAATCATTGGCTCTCCGTCCGAGTTCAGTTTTGCACAACTGAGGAGCAGTCCTTATCTATATGGCGAAACGATCGTCGTGTGAAACTGCTACTTGTTACCGCTCCTTATTGTCCATTTAAAGTGTCATAGTCAAAGTACAGTAATGTTTTACTGAGAAGTTCGGTTTTGCATGGTTCTTGTTCGCATAGCTTCCCCTTTTCTTGATCTTTGCATCTTTTGAGCCACGCAAGTTGTGTGGAATGTTGCTTTGCGTCCTTGAATCGTGGTTTGACCGTATTGTCCGATGGTCTTAGCAGTATCATCCTCGACATGCATGAACATCCGCCAACGTCCTTCACAGCTGAGACTTTCAGCTCGTGCTTGGTTGCGCTCACCTTCCCCTCCTTATGTAATTCTATAACTTAGAAAATGCCCATTTGGAAGGCTGTTGGAGTGCACATCCAAGGTGTGCTAGAGCTGTTAGCCAGTTAGTTGTAGAACGTCAGTACCGTCGGTCAGTGTCGTGTAATGTTATCGCTTAAGCTGATTGTTGAGTAACCCGCCATATGCGTGTTAAAACAAAATGGCGTCACGATTTTTTTAAAGTGGTATAGTTGGTGGTACGAGTGTTCAAAACCATTTGAACTTCATACTGTTCATCTTCTTTTTGACATGCTCTCCTTCCATCGTCCTTAGCTTTTGTTTGTTGTGAGCTGTTTTGGCTTTCTCCTATACCTCTGGGGGATACCAAGTGATGTTTTTGAGAGGCTGGTGATGGCTGCGAGCGAGAGTTTGCCGATCTGCGTCGTCCTCGCTATAGCAATGAAAATACTAGTTACTGCGCACCTGGCAGATACCACAACACGTCGGAGCGTCCAGGAGCAAAGGAATCTTGGGTTTTCACTGGAATCTAGTTCGTCCAGCATCGTGTAGCCCACCGTCGGTGAATGGCCGTCCAGAAAGGTCAAACCTGGTCTTTTGCAGCATCTCGCAGTCCTGCGAGGCACACCGTGTACGCCTGCCATGTATTGTACAAATAAAACTCGTGCAGTAGTGGACTCTACAGTGGTGAGTCTCAGCCTGTATGCTGCAAAAGACACATGAAATGTGACTGGTGTCTGTACATTGGACGCCAACACCCCAGCCTTCTCCTACAGGATCTGTTTGACATTGACATTATGGAGTGGGTCGACATTGACCTTGTTTGGCAGCTATGGTAATAGTGTCTGCCTGGTTGGATGTAGCAGGTTGGCGTTTGCTCGTCGTCCAACCAGGAATTTTCTTGTAACTCACGGCGGAGTACGCGCAGGGTTTGTGATCCTCCCTGTTCACTTCAATATTATACAAACACAACGTTCCCTTTGTCACTCGTCTTATACCGAGTACTGAATTTGCTGACGATATTGCCCCACACTTGTCACAACCTACCGCCCCTTCTGACGGTGGCGACTGGTTTGTCAATGGCGGTGACCAGGCTGACTGACTAGCTTGAAGACAGCGGCCTCGTTGTCAACCCAGCCTAAATACAGATTTTATCGATCCAGCCTCAGCGCCATATTGACGATGCCCTTGTGACTGTGTGTCATGGATTGCATTGCCATCGCGGTCATTGCTGTTCACCTTGGTGCAGCCCTCAACAACTGGCTCAGCCCATGGGAGTCTAACGTGGACAAAGTTGTTGCCAAAATAGCTCAGAAGATTGGTGCATCGTGGTGTAGGTGAGCACATAACTAGGACTTCCCAGCGACTATTTGTCCAGGCTGCGAAACACCGTGACATGCTGTACTGCACATTCTTTTCAGCACTGCAAGGCCGGCAGCTGGACCGACTGAAGGGGCCGCACACATGCAGGCCGTCTGTTGCCAGTGCAGCATTCTGGAACGTTCTTTCCTTCTGAGATCGGTGGAATAACTTTCTTTGCTTCGAAGCAAGTTGCTTACCTTTCTGTTGTGCTCCTAGTGTCCATACAACAATAATCTACTGCAATGTTTCATTTTCCTTTCCATTCCTCAATCAATGAATACTACAATGTCGATTCTCTTTCTGCATAGTGTGTGCCCGCGCGCACGTGTGTGTGTATACCTAACTCGCCACTCGAAGTTCTGTTCCCCATGACTGAAACACTGCCTGTCCTTTCAGGACCTGCCATCATCTGCGGATGGGCATTATTGTATTGTGTGTGTGTGTGTTTAATTCAGAATCTGATCCGCTATCGTTGCTATAAGAGAAAATCTGTGGGTTCACATCCAGTGCATTTGTAGATTTCGGTGGTGCTCTCGCCACGGGCGCATACATGGGACATTGTGTGTGTGTGTGTGTGTGTGTGTGTGTGTGTGTGTGTGTGTGTGTGTGTGTGTGTGTGTGTGTGTGTGTGTGTGTGTGTGTGTGTGTGTGTGTGTGTGTGTGTGTGTGTGTGTGTGTGTGTGTGGTGTGCGTCTGTGTGTATGGGGATATTGTCTGTATCGGTTTTGGTACTAATGTTCAGGTCTGTGCTTGCATGTGTGAACAAGAAATTGTTCGGTTCTGTGCATGCTATTGCCATGTTGTATAATATTATTATTGTATGTAATAGTGTAAGGATGGAACTTGCCTCTCGCGTGTTTGGCCAGCTGTACGCCCTATGGCTGCGTAGAGATAAAGTAGCGGAGAAGACACGCTTACGCCTGTACAACGCTATCGTACTGCCGACATTCCTGTACAATTGCGAGACCTTGGGATTATCGTCAACAGCAATGGCCAAGGCAGACGCATTCCACCGGCGTCAAATGCGATCACTCCTTGGAATACGATACCCAGACACAATTTCAAACGACGACCTATACCGCAGAACCAAGAGCAACCCTATATCAGACACAGTTGCATGTAGGCGACTACGAATGACCGGTCATGTGCTACGGATGGACACGGACACGCCACCGCAAGTAGCCATGAGCGGCTATTTTGACAAGGGCAACAAAGCACCTCGTGGACGGCCAAGGTTGACACTGGCCACAAGTCTGGTCGCTCAGCTGAATAAGCTGGGTGTGCCAATGAAGACCATGGAAGACCTTTCCAGGTGCCGACAACAAGCAGCAGACAAGACAGACTGGAGGAAACTGTTCAGCTCGACACCCGGGGAGAAATCGGTATCAGCAGCTACTACACCTAGCTGATGATGCTCACAAGACAGAAGCGGAAAAAACACTGAATTTCTTTATTTAGTGCTCTACTACGCGAAATGTGCTATTATTATTATTATTATGGAGTTGGCTTTATTTCACTCACGTTGTCATGACATGAGGTAAGAACCCCATCACCGGGCCAAAAGAGACCAAGGGTAATGAGAGAAAAAATATATAAATGGCCAACGCATTTGAGACCGAAGCAAAAAGGATTGTAAAAACCAAAGCAAAAATATTGAAAGCCGACGCAGAAACTGAGAGACGGACAGAAATAAGCAGAACGATGGAGGAGGCCAGGACATATTCGAATACAAAAAGAGTAATCACAAAAATGGACTACCAGTACAGGAATAGACCTCTAGAAATAGAGGAAGAGATGAATGCCGGACATACTCAAATGGCAAGAGAAAAATCAGGCTGTGAGGACCGTCATACTGCACATTCATGGATGTCAAAGCAAATGCAGTATTGGAGGTTTATACGGACTAGCTCTACCCGTAACATGAGGAGCCTAATGCCGAATGCCAAGAACCGACTTGACGATGTTCAGCGTGCCCAGGATAGCACATTGCTGAGCCCTTTCAATGCACAGAGTGCCTGACAATGCCAACACAAAGTGTGAGAGGGACACACCAGTCAGTCAACCAAGCGCCCCAA